TTTTCAATGCATCATCACATATAGATAGCTTATTTGCATTGTTCAAAAAACTTTGTAGTCTCAACGATGATGCATACATGTCCACTATGGGTGTTGGGTCCAACAATTCGCATTGGTCTCAAACCAATGACGTCCATTTCGAAGACCATGAGTTTGAGGTGGATGAGGAGGGTGAGGGAATTGTCGAGACGCCGAAAGGAAGAGCGGGCAATTACTCCACCAACGATGACAAGTTACTATGCTATACTTATTTGCAAGTGTCGAGGGATCCATCCATTGGAGGTGATCAAAGTAGAGACGCGTATTGGGGGCGAATGAAAAAACACTTTGATGCTCACAACGTTAGTGGAATTGACCGCTCCGAGAGATCACTTCGGTCCCGATGGTCGACAATCAACTCGGATTGCCAAAAGTGGGCGGCCGCACAAAAGTTAGTGGACAAGATTAACCCAAGTGGCACAAATGAGGATGATCGAGTAAGTGGCATCTTATATATGTTCATCATACTTGTTTTTGGTGACCGAAGTGCTAACTTATTTTGTTTTTCTTGTAGTACAACATTGCACAAAACTTGTTCAAAGAAGAGACAAGGATAACCAAGAAGGGGGAGATCAAGAAAGGCAGGATCTTTACCTTGCCTCATTGCTATGAAGTGTTAAAGGATGATGAGAAATGGAAGAAGCGTGAAGGTTTGGAGGATTTGCATTTGAGCAACAAACGGAAGCGAGCAATTGAGATGAATGATGATGATGAGGAGGAGGATGCATCAAGTGATGACGGCAAGAGAAGCCCCACACCCAACTCGATTTCATACTCGAAGCCAAAACGACCGGATGGGTGCAAGAAAGACAAAACCGAAAAGAAGAATAGGAAAGGAGATGATGAGCTCAAAAATGCTATGGAAGCTATTGTGAAGGCAAGGGTCGAAGCCAATGAGGTGAGGAAAATGGCAAGGAACCAAGATGCCGTGGCCGAGGAGAGGAGGTTGGCGGCCGAGGAGAGAAGGGTGGCGGCCGAGGAGAGGAAGGTGGCTTTGGAGGAGAGGAAAGTGAGCAATGAGGAGCGAGCTAAGTTGTTGGAATGGGAGAAGCACTTGTTCTTCTTGGACACATCTAACCTCAATGCGGCGCAAAAGGAGTATGTCAATCTTGCCCAACAAGAAGTCTTGATCCAAAAAAGAGCCATGGTTCATGCAATGGGTGGCGGTGGCTTCGGCGCCATGGGTGGCGGTGGCCTTGGCGCCATAGGAGACATGGGTGGATTCGGAGTCATGGGAGGCATGGGTGGACCTCCGGCCGCCATGGGAGGCATGGGTGGACCTCCGGCCGCCATGGGAGGCATGGGTGCACCTCCGGCCACCATGCGAGGCATGGGTGGCTTTGGATCACCCTCCGACGCTATGGCCACCATGGGAGGCATGAGTTTTGCTTCTCTCATGGGAGGCATGGGTGCACCTCCGGCCGCCATGGGTGGAATGTCTTTCGATGTGCCTTCTCACACATATTTCCATGGAGATGCCGTTGAAGATCTTGCCAACACCGTCGGAGCTTCACGTGATGCAGTGCGTGATGAGGAGAGGGAGGAAGATTCATCTTCGGAGGCAGAAGAGTCGTCTTCGGAAGATGAGGACGAAGACGAGAAAGATGAAGATTGATGTGTCATGTCTTGAACTTTAGTTTGCATTTGAACTTGGTTGGATGAACTTGTGGGCATGAACTTTTATTCATCATCAACTTGTTTGTGTCAAATTTCACATGTTCATTGCATTTTGATGAATGTTTCAAACTCACTTTATGTCCAAAAAATCATATATGTTTGCCCGGCGAGTCGCGCGCGCTGTATTTCTGCGCGCTGCTGGAGCGCGGCGCGCGTGCTGCATTAAAGCGCGACTGCTGGAGCCAGCGCTGGCGGCCGCGCTAAACATACCGAAGCGCGCGCGGCAAACAGGTTTTTTGCGTGTGGCGCTTTGCGCGGCTGTTGGAGATGCTCTAACTAGAGGCTGCGCAACAGAGGCATGTTTGTCCACATTTCTGTCACCTCCTAATCCCACACAGGGCACGGTGATGTAATGAACACGTGCTCATCTATAGCGACGACTCTTGCTCATTTAACGAGTGTATGATAAACAATGACAAACACACAAACACACGCGTCCTGATGAAAGTAAGTATACACTTGTTGATTAACATAAACGAGCCAATTTATAAAGGCATCCTTTGGACCACCTACCTCATGCATGCGCCTTGCTTGATTCACTTGCCTTTTTATCCACCATTTATGATACACATATTTTCCGTCTTTGATGCAGCTCACCCTCGTATTATTTAAGTTGTATGTATATAAGAGACATGTTATGCCTCGTGTTCAAGTTCGATACGTACAACAGACATGTGTTATGCCTAGTATTCAAGTGTCAAATTGTCTGCAATACTAATATGCTCCATAAACTTAGGGATCATGTTTATAAAATTTCAAATCATATGAATATTAAAAGTAAAGGATTGGGGTGCTCTCTCCACTCGTGCTCTCTCCACTCTAATCCTTAGAAATTTTCCATGAGGTCTCACCGAATACTAAGAATCCTTAAGAATTAGGTCAACATATGGGCACAATCCAATGGAATACAATACCTTCGTTCTTGTGAAACCAACGTCATGCATAGGAAAGATTCTAAAGTTCAAAATCCTATGTGAATCCTCAATAAACCCCACAAACCGAAGGAGACATTAAGATTTAGCCATACAAATTAATGGTGCTCCCTTGATTCCACAAAGCTTTTCATTCTGGAGGTACCAGTCCAAATTTCAAATGGGGCTACGGTATTGGGAAAAAAAAATCACTACATGTATGTTTGAAAAGGCATAATAGAGATTTGTGCTGGAAATACTTCCATGCATGATACAATACAATAGTTTATAGAGATTTTTTTCGCAAAAAGCAACAAGTGAGGTTGATCAGTATTGATATTTTTGTAGGCCGTTTCATGTGTTTATTCCTTCTAATGAAAACCATGACAATAAATGTTGGAGAAACAATGACAAGTAAGTTTTCACATGATATCGATCTACCCATGAAAACAAGCTCTAACATATTTCAAAATGTGCAAATATAAAATCAGATAAAATATCCGTGAAAATAGAACTACACTTTCTGGCCACGCAAACGTCACATGCTAGTTCAATTTGTAAATAAACTAGTACCCAACTTCCAATGTCCCTTGCTTTTCTCTTTTAGCCATTCCAAACCTTTTTTTTCATCGGTTGACGTGATTTTTCAACATCCAGAATTTTATCTACTCCATGAAGATGATACTTGATTTGATTTGTCTGGGGCCATGAGTTTGCCACTTATCGGACAGAACCAGCAGTGTAGTCTTTGGGTATGCTTGGACATCATAGTGTGCTGCCATACTGATATGTTTCAGTAGCAAATAGTATAAGAAGCATATGATATTACTGATATGGAGACCATGTGTAAATTGGCTGGGGTCCATTTCTGTTTGTGATTGCACAGCCACATATCTTCAATGGTTTACCAAAAAAGAAGAATAAAAAAAACTTCAATGGTCCATATATACATCTAAGCTACAGATTACAAGTAGCTCATGCTTGTTATTAAGTTAGAAAGTGCCTTCAGAGGTCCAGACACCTTGCTACATGAATGATTACAAGTCATCGTTATGCAATGGAACTCAGCAGTCAACACAACACACATCAGAGACATCAGCACCAGCTTGAAAATGTGACATGCCACTTTTTCACAGGAAAAATGCAAGAAGCAGAAATCACCATGTGAGATGGCTCATATGTCTAACAGACGAGAAATGCAAGAAGCAGAAGTCACCATGTGAGATGCCGAAAATCAAACAGATCATGTGCTAGACCAGCACAAGCTTTCAACTCAATGTTCAGAAAGAAAAGATTGCTAGGAGCATCTACAATTGCGTGTCTCCATCTCAGGGGCCGCCCTATATACTTAAAATTATTAGGAATTTAGGATATCATTACCACCCAGAAGATCAATTGGTATCTCATTGCGCAATCACAGACGGAAATGGGCCCACTTCCAGGTCATGTAAGTCTATTCTTGGCCACTACTTGAAACAAGTCAGTATGCCAGCAATTAGTCTCCAACAAGTGGCAAACTCATGGCCCCAGAGGAATCAAATCAAGATCACACATTGCTTGCCCCCTGCACTCTTGCAGCATTGCATGTTCTGAGTTCATGGCTCTGTCCCTTGCCAACTTGTCATGATATTGATAGCTACAACAGCACATCATGATGCTTCTCTCCCCTCTCACATATAAATCTATCAGCTTACCACCACCATCTCATCATCACTTCATCCACAAGCCAACCACTACAGCACCTGTTACAAAAGTTTCTCTGAACTATTAGCCAAGAAACAAGGAGAATCAGCCATGGAAAGTGCCAAAGAGGCTTGCCCTACTAGCAAAGAAATGGCAGAGAATTGCGGCCATGGGGAGGAAGAGGATCACCCAGACTGCAACGGCAAAAAGAGCAGCCGAGGAGTGCCGCGCGATGACCCCAGTAGCAGTGAAGGGACACTGTGCGGTATACACCGCTGATGGGAGCCGGTTCGAGGTGCCACTGGTGTTCCTCAGCACGGCAGTCTTCAGCGAGCTCCTGAGGATGTCTCAGGAGGTGTTTGGATTCTCAGGCGGCAATGATGGCCGGATCACGCTGCCCTGTGACGCTGTGGTCATGGAGTACACCATGCGCTTGCTCCGGAGAGATGCCTCCGCCGAAGTAGTGATGGCGTTCCTGAGCTCCATCGCGAGGCCGTGCTGTTTTGACGGCAGTGTGGCGGCGCCATGCATAGGGCTTAGCCAGTATGTAGCTGTTTGTTAGCTTCTAAAGAATGGCAGGTAGCTAGGATCCTTATCCTAGGCGCCATTTTTGCTCAATAGAAGATGTAAATATGAAGCTAGTAGATTGGAAATGGAAAACTAATTTGATGAAATTTGCACGCTTTCTGATCAGGCTAAGTGTTCAACTGTTTGTTTCAGACTCAGTACGTAACTGGCAAAGCTTCAGTAACACAGCTATATTTGTGTTTTAACAAACTGAGTCAAGGCATACACTTTAAAACTACAACTAATATGCGCTGATATTTTAGAAACTATAAAACTAACGAGTCCTGCACATGTTTTCCTTGAATAATGACATAGGAGCTTTGCCTGTCATTGAACAGAAAAACAGAGGGTGTAGATTCAAGTATGCATACCACATGAGTTTAACAAATGTTACCTGCCTAGAGTTAGATGAAAGAAAACTTCCATTAAACTGCTGAATAACTAATTGACACCTGCAGATTGAGCAAATGAGAACTAGTTACCAGACACTTGAATAATCCTAGATAAAAACCTCAGCTTTGTGAAGAATTAAGTAGTGAAATATACCTTTCAGAACAGAGTTTGTATTTCTTTCTTTCTGACTTAGAAGTCAAAATGGGGGAAAAAGAGTGAAATGGAGACTACATGAGATGATGGACGTGGATCGGATCACAAGCTGAAAAAACAGCGACATCTGTTGAGCAAATGGATTCAGGAAGACGAACGCATCTGACCGATCAACAACCAATCTGAGGCCAAAAGTTAAGAGGCGACCGATCATTGAAACTGATGATATATCAACCCGATCCATCTGTATCCAAATCACAGAATAGATCATGGCCTTGTCTTCACCAGCTTGCCAAACTGACAAATGATATGAGAGCAAACCAATGGTTTAATGCCACGGCTATTGGATCCAGCATGTTCCAAACATTTGGCCCCATCACAATCAAATCCAAATGAATCATACTACAACACTGCATGTGTTGATCCCATGGCCATGTCTCTTGCCATCTTTTGTAACGACAACTACACTTCACCATTACCATGTCCTTCCTCTCGGAAGTAAATTCAGTGAATGGCTATGCTCAACACCATCAGCTCATATACCACCAACTAAGCATTACAGCATCCATAGCTCACTTCTCTGGTTTCCAGCTGAAAAACAAGACCCGGAAACAACCATGATCAGCGCCAAGCGACTTGCTCAATTGGCAAAGAAGTGGCAGAGGATGGCAGCATTTAAGAGGAAGAGGCTGACAACAACAGCCAAAGAAAATGAGAAGTGCAGCATCTCTGTAGCAGTCAAGGGCCACTGTGTCATGTACACAGCCAATGGGAGGCGCTTTGAGGTAGCATTGGTGTACCTCAGCACGACGATCTTCAGCCTGAGGATGTCCCAGGAGGCGTTTGGCTTCGCAAGCGATGGCAAGATCACACTGCCTTGTGATGCCAGAGTGATGGGAGTATGTCATGTGCTTGCTCAGGCGAAATGCCTCTGTCGAAGTCGAGAACGTGCTGCTGATCTCCATGGTGACATCTTGTCACGACACTGGTTGCGCAATTCCAGCTGTTGGAGCCAGCAAGCGAATTGGTTGTTTGTAGCTCCTGAAGAACATGCATGCAGAGCCTGTTCTTGCTCTCTGTTTTCTGTAGTTTACCTGGATAGTGTGCATAGTTAGATATAAGCAATGGAGAAGGAAAATTGCTGTGTAATGCACTATAATCTTGCAAGCAATCAAGCAGCAACGCCAGTAACCGCAGTTGTTTTTCTCGTAGATATACATTGCATTCAGTGAATAAATAATTGATACAACCGTTCATTTAGATGCCAATAGTTCCATAGCCAGGTTATTAGGGGGAAAAGAATGAATAAGTGCCATGACCAGGTGATACAAGAGCATTTTTGAATGATGAAATGAGAGAAGCTATTAAAGGGCCATCAGGACTTTGGGATAAGAAATAAGCAAGTAGTACATAGATCACAAAATAAAAGATAAATTAGTAATTAGCAGTGTAAGGAAGGTTTTCTTCTTAAAATGGAAATCATCAACGTTTAAACGTTACTGAACAACTGGACACCCCTGAATCCAAACAACTTCGCATTAGGCAGTCGGCAGCCTGAAAATACTCAAGGACAATTACGCCATTTGGCATGTGTTTGTTACTCATAATCTTCAGCTTTATTTGAAACCATGGTTAGCAGGCTTGCTTGCAGGCTTGGAAGATGAAACACTTGTGAAACAAATACTCAAGACATTTGTTAATCAATGTCAATTTGTTCATGTCAGCCTGTGAACATTTGTATGCATCTTCATCAAACTAAAGGACAGGCAAAATATATAGATGCATGGTGCATGAATTAAAATAACAGGCATGTAATACAGAACGACAAAAGTAACATTCATATTATTACTAACAGAACTTGGTGCCAAACAAATTACGTTGTACAAAATTAGTTATAGCGAGCAAGCGCACAGGGCACAGCTTGATAGCAACTATTACTACTACTCAAGAGTTAAGACAGACTCGATCGCTGACAAGTAGCGTAATACACTAATGCATACATAAGTAGTTGTTCTTGGCTCGACAATGATGATGCAGCAAACTACATAAGGAAGCCAAATAGGATACATCAACAACCCTCCTTCGTCTTTGCAGCTAGCTAGGTTAATAATGGCAATCGAGCTTTTATTCTGCTCGGCCGGTAGGTGGATGTGAAGTGGCAGCGGCATTGGCGAGGTCAATGTGCTCTTGAACGAACTTCTCCAATGTTTTCCTGTGGTCCTTGAAGGCCATGATGTTGTACTCCCTGATCGTCGTAGTGTCGGCCCCGAAGACAGTCTTCTCACAGAGGTTGATGAAAAAGTCGAGCTGGTCATGCACGATGAGGCGCTGTGCAGCGAGGGCGACCTCCAGGCAGACCTCCGCAGGTGTGGCCACGGGCAGCTGCATGCCCATCAGCGCGCGGAAGAGATCATCTCCATAAAGGCCAACGAGCTGGGCAGCGGGGGAGATGCCGCGGCGGCGGGCTTTAGGGCTGCGCGTGGCCTGGAGGCGCGCGCTGATGTCGTCCATCTTCCTGGTGAGGTTGCTGAATTTGACAAGGAAGTCGTCCATCCTCCTTCTGAACGAATCTGTGTCATCGGAGAGACAACGCAGCACAGCGCCCAGCAGCACCTGCTGGAGGCGTCCCAGAGCGTCAGGGTGCGGGTTGGCGTCCCGAGCCACCTTGAGAACACGATTGTGGTTTGTAAAAAGTACCGCCATGTCTATGCCAAGGTAGGAGTACACATAGAGGGGTTAATAATCACACACAGTTGTCCATTTAACAAACATAAATGTGTAGAAACAATATGTGATTCACAAGAAGATATAGTAAGAGGCCAAAAATTACAACTTCACAAAAGCTATTCAGGTTGCGAAAATTATGGTAGATATCCAGCTCCCAAAAATGTCCGCTGCTGTTTCAGATTGGAAAATAAATGAATAACAGGTTCCACTATGAACTGCCCCAAAGAGCATGAACCTTTACAGGATGAACTAGCACTAATTGAACCCTTGAAATATCCCAAAACTGGTTTATGAGCTAACTGCATACTAAAATCTGCACAAGAACAGAGCAAGCAAATCACATCTGGGCTTAGGGTTCAATGGGGATAGCGGCGGAGGGGATTTACCGTGTTCAGTGTCGGACATGGCGGCGTTAGGGTCCGTACTGCAGAAGGAGTGGGGAGGCGGATACATACTGGCGGTGAGGAAAATGCGGGCGCGGCGGGCGGCGGGCGGCGGGCTGAACTCCGGTGACGGGGCGGCGGACTGGGGACTGGAGTCTAATGTGGGTGCGAATCTGGCCTTATAAATTTTTTTTTGATGAGAAGGTTGCCACGTGCCATTCACCCGCACAACACACCAAAAGACACAAGACGGACTATAGTTGGTTTATTAAAGAATCTCGGTTCGGCCCACAGGGCGGAGAAAAAAGACCGCCTGGGGGCGAAACGGCGCAAGTTTGGCGTTCGGGGGCGGCTTGGTCCCCAGTCGTTGTCCGCAAGTTCACCCTGAGTTCGGCGAAATTACGTAGATCTGGTACGAGCTCGGCGAAATTTATTAAAATTTGTTAAAAAAAGTAAAAAAAAAATGCAAACTATGTCACACTAAAGCCAAACTACGCCTCTAGCCACTACCACGCGTTCACCGCCCGCCATCTACATGCCGAGAAGCCTGTAGAAACGGGTGTAGTCGTCGCCGTCGTCGTCGTCGTCGCACGCCCCGCCGGAGCCACCCCGCCGGAGCCACCGTCCCTGTTGCAACCCTGCCCAGGGTCGCCGACGCGCGGCCGGGAGCTAGACGGCACGGCATCTTCCTCCTCGTCGCTGTCGAGGACGATGACGCCGCCCTCCTCGCGGCCGCGTCGTCGGGCCAGGAGTTCCGCGTACGCCTGGCGCTGGCGGCGCACCTGCTCACGGACGTAGTCCTCCTGCGCGCACTTCAGGGTGGACTCGTCGTCGGGAGCCACCATGTCGGCGTGCTCCGGCTTCACGGGGAGCAGGCCCGACTCGAGCATCGGTTGGACCAGGCGAAGGGAGCGCGGGGAGGGGCGGGCACCCTCGTCGATGACGATGGCTCCACTGCGGGTGCGGCACCGCTGCGGCGTCTCCTCCGGCTCTGGCTTGATGGGGCGGACAGCCGGCGAGCCGGAGCCCGACGACGAGGACGTCGGCTCCATTCGCCGCGGCGTCTAGGAACTGCCGCGGCGGCAAGAGAAGGAAGGCCGCGTCGGGTACTCCAGCCACGGCACGTTGTCGGTCTCGATGTGGTTGAGGACGGCCTCGAGGGTGCGGCCGGGGACGCCCCAACACTCGCACCGTCCTTCGGCATTGAGGCGACCGCGGGGAATGACGCCGTTGACGGAGGCGATCTGCTCCTCGCAACGGCGGTGGAAGTACATCGTCCACAGCATTTCGCTGTCGAGCGTGTACCTCGGCTGGTTCCGCTGCTCCTCCGTGAGGGAGG